TATCGGGCATGCCTTGTGGAAAGCGCAGATCAGGGCGTCGTGGATTGTGTCCACTTCATCCTCTAATCTGCGCACGTTGCTGGGTCTCAACCGCCGTTCCCCCAGCCTAACCTCCAGTTCCTCCTTAAAGGAGTACCAGTCGGTGGTCCTGGGATTCCTGTGTGCGGGACCCTGCATCTTCCCGGCTCTACCTACGATGCTGAATTTGATGCGTCTGTGATCGGATAGTGTGTCCTCACGGTCCACCCTCCAATCGACGCACCGTGGCGCTAGCCTTCTGTCACACAACGTGATATCGATGACACATTGGCAGCGAGAAGTGACGAACGTGGGCCTGGATCCCCTGTTTAGGACCTCCAGGTCCACGTCTGCCATGTATTCCAAAAGGGATATGCCTCTGGCGTTGTTGTGCTCACTGCCCCAAACCACGTTCTGCGCATTTGCGTCGCAGCCCACGATGAGTGGCAGCCCATTGCTTCTACAGTGGCAAACCAGCTTCCTCAGTTCCCCCGTGGGCGGCGGCAACGCTGAGTCAAACGGGAAGTAGGCAGAGCAGAAGACAACGTCCTCATATCCGCCCTCCCCCCGCAGGCCCACCGTCACCGCGACAAGGTCCCTGTGACAGAAGTTTACCATTCTCCTGGCATTGCAAGCTCTTTTAACGGAGATGCAAGTCCTGGGTCCTGGCTCCCCCCGTGCAAAGAAAAGCTCATTGCCCCTGAGGTCGAGTCCTCTTACCATGCCCCCTGTCACCCAGGGTTCTTGGATGAGGCATATGTCTGTGTGCTCCACCACTTGGCTGCGACTCAGGAGAGCCGTCGCCGCTTTGCAGTGTTGCAAGTTTATTTGGGAGCATTGGACAAGGGTTGGGGCAATGGCCGCCCCAACCCTACTATCCGCTCCCCGCCGTGCATGTCCAGAGGCCATCGGGGCTCCCTTACTTGGGGTTAAGGTTCCCCTCTGGCCTGCTGGGCGTGCCAGGGCCGCCCTTCTCCTCTGGCCTGCCCCGGCCAGGGGTGCCCGTTCGGGCCCACAAGAGGGTCGGTTGAGACCCTCCCGCAGCCCCCGACGGGCCCCCCCTCGCCAGTGCAGGCCCTGCTCTCTGCCCTCTAGGGCGTCCCCTCCTTCTTATCAGGCGAGGGACTTGCGGGGTCCCCGAGGCTCTCGCCGGGTCCCCTTGCCCATCCCCCACCGGAGTTGATGTCCCGGGTGTCGGGGGGACCACTGGATTCTGAGAGGTCACAGCGGTCCCCTCCCTCTCGCCCGTCCCCATAGTGGGTCTCTGGCACTGCAGGTCGATCGCTGGTCCCGCAGTCCTCACAGGAGCCGGTTCCCGCTCCTCCGACTTTTTCCGAGGCTCGTAAAAACGAGCTCGTGTCAGGCCGTAGAACGGGCCCCAGCCCAATTCCTTGAGGACCTCAAGGGACT